AGAATGAGCTATTACAAGACAGTAAAATTCTAGGAGATCAGGAAGAATCTAAGGAATAAATTAATTAAAATGGAGATGAGAGCAATGTAAATTCTTAGAATTTATAAGAATAAGATAAAAATTGGCAGAAAATTACTCTTTAGTAAATAGTAAATGTAATAGGCAAAAGAGGACCAGATGCCCATAATTTTAATATAGAAGAATTCAAGCTAGATTAAAAGATTGAAGAAATTATACAACAAAGCACTAGTAGCATCACTTTTTCATCAGTATTACATTTAAGGGGAGAGTCAACAACTCAATAACCTTATATTGACGAAGAAAGTAAAAATATGATGTTATATAATGGAGAAGTATTTTATCTAAACTCTGATCAGATAAAAGGTGATTACTAATTTATAAATCAAGAATAAATTAAGGCTTTTGACTCTTAATTCAGAAATGATGGTATTTAACTATTTGAAATTCTAAATCATGCCTCTAATCAATTTGCTAAGATTAAATTAGACAATGATTAAGTCACAATAAAATGTTATTTGGATGAGATTATGAGTGTTATGAGAGAAGTTTTTGAGAATAGTGATATGAGTTTTGCCTTTCTTGATAAAATTAATGATGTCATGATAATCTACAGAGATATCTTTGGAAAAAGGAGTTTGATTATTGATTATGATGAAAAATTGCAATCTTTGATGCTTTCATCCTCATTACTAGAGGAATCAACTTCATGTTTTGAAGTTCCATCGAACTCATATTTGGCAATATTGACTGATGGAACTTTGCTATTTAAAAGATTTGATGAAATTCCCTCACAGATCAGATTTAAAAAGCCATATCAAGCAATTCAAAACTAGAATTAAGACCTCGAGCATATTGAGTAATTATAAAATATCAAATAGCTTTTGATTGATTCAGTTAAATATCGAGTGTAAAATATACCAAATATTGCATTTAAGAAAGAAGAGGAATTTAAATCAATTGATGAAGCGATTTTTACTGATGCAGATAACAGACCATAGGTAGCTGTGATGTTTTCAGGAGGATTAGATTCAACTTTGATAGGAGCATTGCTTGCAGAGGTAACTGATAGAGATGTCATAATTGACTTGGTTAATGTGAGTTTTGATGCTGAGACTTCAGCAGATAGAATAACTGCAATATTTTCATATTTCGAAATCAAAAGGTAAATATTCATTATGTCTGAGTTCTTAATAGATTATATCAAAATAGAGATTTTAGAATGATATGTGCTGACTATACAAAAGCTGATATCTAGAGTAATGAAACTCTCATATAAAGTTTGATTGCCCCAAAAAACTCTCATATGGATTTCAATATTGCATGTGCCCTTCATTTTGCATCAAAGTGTGAAGGGTATCTATTCAATGATACATACTTTGAATCAGAGCATTTTGATTCAATTACTAAGAAAATTTCCAAATGTTAGGATGATAAGCAGTCTTAAAATTTAAGTGAACTTAAAAAAACTGATAGCAAAGCTAAATCTTATGACTTCGGACTAATATCTTAAGTTGTTTAAAAAGTAGATCCAAAATTATATAGATTAGAAGATCAATGGATTAAATCATCAAGCAAGGTAGTGTTTTCTGGTTTAGGCGCTGATGAAGTGTTTGGTGGGTATGCAAGATATAAAACTGCTGTTGAAAGAGGAGGCATCTAAGAGATGGAAAATGAAATGAGCATGGACTTAGATAGAATCTGGCATAGAAATATGGGAAGAGATGATAGAGCTATTTCTTATAATGGGAAGGAAGCAAGATTTCCATTCTTAGATACTTCACTAATGAGATATTTGCGAGATAATGTAGATACCAAGGATTTATGTGATTTTAGTGATTTTAGAGGATAGGGCGATAAAAAGATGCTCAGAGAGGTTGCTTATTAATGTTTTGGATTTCATTTTGCCAGTAAATTTGAAAAGAGAGCAATTTAATTTGGTACAAAGATAGCTAAACAAACAAATATTATGAAGTTTGGGTCAAATAGGAAAGCTAATGGAAAAGCTCAATATCAAAAGAAAAATAAATGAATGATTAATTGATTTCTAATTAGACATTGAATCTAAAAAGTTGGGGTTTTGGGGTTTTGGGGAGATCGGAAGAGCACACGTC